CTATTAGCTATCAGTTTCCAGTAATCTGATCTGCTTGTTTGCCAGTTGGGAACAGGAAGTCAATCTAAAGAATTTCTCTAACGCTAAAGGGCATACCCTAAGGAGTCCGTTAAACTTTTCACTCTTAGAGGAAAAATAATCAAAGCACAATATAGAGTCTTCAAGAAGTTGCTGAATCTCAAATCCCAGAAGCTAAGACATTAGAATTGTTAATAGTGAGTGACAATGTTATATTCTGTAATGCTGACCAAAGGTGAAAAAACAGAGAAGAAGAGGGTGACCAGGAGCAAGATGGATAGGCTCAAGTAGAGTAACAATGGCTGCATCTTTGGAAGACCTGAAGGATCAGGTTAGGGGAGGATCCCCCCTTGAGAAAAATACATTTATTTGGCCACTAAGAGTTGATAACTGACTTGGTGGTGTATAATAACAAATACTGAGAGTGGTAGTTCAGCAGCATTTGAAGACTCATATGTTGTGCTTCGTGGGAATCATCCCAAATGGTCTCCCTTTCCAGGAAAGGTAGAATTTTAAAAGAGAGCTTCGGCTATTTCTTGGTTGTGTAAGAGATTGCTGTGATAAGGCTGTAAAGTTCACTGGAGTTGTACAATACACAGATCTAAACTAGACAAAGGTGCTTTGTATCTAGCACAGATGTTTTTGCTATGTTGGCTGGCTATTCCTTAAAATCATGCATTTCTTAGGGCTTGCAAGAGACCACACAACTCATTCACACAACGCTACAATAAGTGGGACCCTCCTGGATTCCCAGTATTCTTTCCCACTTCAGATCCAAATGCTGTATGTCTGACATTAACCGCATGAAGGATGCTGGGAATTGTAGTTCAGCAATTCTGAATCAACTGGGCCAGAGAAGAAGCTTCTTCAGAATGAAGGATTTCTGTCATTCATTTTAACTCCCACCCAATAAGTGTTGTACACTTATTAAATTTCTTCTCTTTCCTTTTTATAATTGTTACTGATTTTCTGTTTATCATCATGCGTCCTTAGTTTCTTTAGAAATTAAAGTAGCTGGACAAATGTAATTTGTGGACTATTTGAACTTGGTTGAGGGCTATTTGTATTTTCCGGCAGGAACATGATTTTTTTTTTCCCCCTCTTGCCTTTAGCCTGCAATCTAGCCTGCCTGGCTCAGAAACAGAAGGAGACCCTCGACGTAGCAGTAACTCGTCATCTTCGTTGGTGGAGACTTTTGAAGGCCCTAGCATGGTTGGGAAGCTGGAGTTTAAAGTGTCTGGTTTTTTCTTATTTGGCTCCCCTCTGGGATTGGTACTTGCACTTCGTAAAACAGTAATGCCCGCCTTGGATGGTACGGAGATTTTTTTTTTTCTTCCACCTTTCTGCATTTCCACATTTTCTGCTTTTCTCATCCATTGTAAACACAGCAATTTACACATTCGTTTGTGTCTTTCAGTGGCTCAAATGCGGCCGTCCTGCGAACAGGTCTATAACTTGTTTCATGCTGCTGACCCCTGTGCTTCCCGCCTGGAACCTCTGCTAGCTCAACAGTTTCATGCTGTGCCTCCTTTTGGGGTCCCCCGCTATCAGAAATACCCCCTGGGAGATGGCTCCTCCACTTTTTTAGGTGAGAAAAACTGTGAAGGCCAGGCTTGCATTAGATTGGTAGCACAGTGGACTGGAGAGCTCTGTGGCCGGACCCTGTAGGATTCTGTTGCTTCTTTTCTTTTGGAAATATGAAAGTGGGAGGCTAGGCTACAATGTAAGGGATAGGGCAGTGATGGTGAACCTTTTAGAGACCGAGTGCCCAAAAACTGGTCCAATCCCCGCTCCACCCCCCTGCCCACCCACACTCTGCCCCTCCATTCCCCACCTCGCCTGCCCGCAGGGCCACTCACTGCTTCCAGGGCCCGCCGCAGATTGCCCAGGCAGCCCAGCAGCACCATGGCGGCCACGTCCTCTGCCCACACCCTGCAGCATCAACTGTGCGCAATGGGGCGTGAGGGCAGAGACTAAGCTGCCTGGCTGCCATGTCCTTGGCTGCGCTGCTCCACGTGGGCCACGCTCAGGGGCAACTCTCCTCCAGGGGGGCTGTTGGTGAGGGGGTCGCGGGGGGAGGCAAGGCTGGGGCAACGCCATGTGTGCCCACAGAGGGCTCTGAGTGCCTTCTCTGGCACCCGTGCCATAGGTTCGCCACCACCGGGATAGGGGATGTTTGAGGTGTGGTTCTGAACTTAGGGAACTGCAGAGCACAGTTCTCCGGTTTATAGTACTACTGATCATGGTGGTGCATTTGTTTTAAGTCTACGATACAAAATAAAGTAAAATGCACGTTTTAGGAGATGTTGTTTTGTTCAGTCATAAGGGCTCCTATGTTGTTCTCAACAATACGCTGTAACGGAAGTGAGGGAGAATAATATTAAGGAGGAATTCTCTGGAGCCAGTCTCTTAAGGCAATAGAGGAGTTTGGTAGAGCAGCCATGTCCCTTTAGCCCTTTGATGGGAGGATGTCATATGTTTATATTATTTATTTGTAGTCGCTGTATCTATTTCTCAGTAGAAAGCGTGGTTTATTTCAGCTGAGCGGAAGAAGGGAACAGAGAGAGAAAGAGGAAAGCAAGCAAAAGGTCAACCACATTTGAAATTACAGTGTGAAAGTGCTTCTGTTTAGAAGGGAAAGAGCTTAGGAAGAGAAGGAGCCTGATAGAGCTGATCTTTCATCCTTTACTCATTAGCCTTGCTTCCTATTTATTATCCTACGTTAGCGATATAATAAAATGCTTTGTCCTTGTATGGAAAACCCGCCCGAAACAAGAGGTAACGGTGTGAAGCAGACATCTCTGAATGATAGATGTTTATTTGTAGGGAATGTTGTACGGAGGGGCGTAAAAGTTCTCACCTCTGTGGTCTGAAGTGATCACCGCCACTAATTCTGCTGCATGTGCTGATTGATACGCAGGACCTTTCTGCGCTTGAGGCTTAATCAAGACAGAAACACGTTCTGGCTGAATCTGCATTGCTTTTAGTGTCTTCATGATAGGGCCTGCTTTGGATCCCCAGCCCACAAGTCAGCCAGTGTTAAGCCCTCTGAGTTAGACTCGTGTAATAATAATAATAATAATAATAATAATAATAATAATAATAATAATAATAATAATAATAATAATAATAATAATAATAATAATAATAATAATAATAAAGTTGGAAGGGACCTTGGAGGTCATCTAGTCCAACCCCCTGCTCAGGCAGGAAACCCTACACCATTTCAGACAAATGGCTGTCCAGTCTCTTCTTAAAAAC